TCAATCAATCAATCAATCAATCGACAGAAAAATAATCACTAACTACTTTTAGTCGCAGTTAAAGTGATTTTTAAGAAATGTCTCTGTTTTATATCATATTAAACTCTCTTTGGGTTTTGGTTTGGACTGAGAAAGCAAGACATTTAATGACATCACCTTGGACTAGAACATTTTATAGACCAAAAGATCACTTGATTAATCTAGAAAAGAGAATCTGCATATTAATTAACAATGACTGTAATCATTTGCAGCACTACACTTATGTAAACACACTCTCTGTATGTCTTTTGGCCCTTGAGGGTCAATGAGCGAGATCCACTGTTGTGCACAAAGGCAACTTCCTAATACGTGGTAATATAAATCATACTGAACAAATAAACTTAAACAACGCATAAAATAAATGTTTAAAAAAAGAAACAAGAGGCTTAAACACTGAAAACTGCCACAGCTGCAAAAGAAACCAACATTTTCCAGCATCCAGCTACAAACTGCACTGTACGCAAGCTTATTAGTTTAAACAGAGTGTGTTTTAGAAAAGAAAAAGCAGCAGGAGACACACCTAAAACATACACATCACTGTTTGACTAAAGGAGTTATGACAGAAACACACACAGGAGCTCACCTGCTGTTAGCCTCTGGCTCACCTGTTCGACACACACTGCAGAAACGTACTAACTTAAAACCACACTACTTAAAAACAGCTCACATCCATGAGGGCTTTAACTCAGGTTGAACTCCCAAAGCTGCTAAAGGTGGGCGACGTCAGTTTAAAGATTTATCTGATTGTTTATTAACTTATTTAATTGATATAGGGGATATCATTGCTTGTGACACAAAAAACAGTAAGTACAGATAATAGGAAAAAAAGTATGTAGTAATTAGGGACCATTGTTATGCAGGTGGAAGCTTTTTTTATCTCACCTGGCTGAAGATTGATTAACATCAATTAACAATTCCTCTTTTCTGTGTCCGTTCTTCAGGATAAAAACAGCGGAAACTCTACGATTAACCGATCATAAGAGTATTTTCTATACGTGATTGTTTTGTGCTTTTTCTCAGGCACTTGTATCATATTACTTTCTTTAAAAGACTTATTTCTAAGCCTTGTGGTAAGTTATTAGCTATACTGTGGTTGTATGGCTCAGCCCCTCGTTGTGAGTGACAGCCACACCTCAAATGATTCACCCACACTACGCGGAAAGCATGAAATACAGGTCATTCCCTGCAAGAAACAAAAACAAGACCAGCAAGTCTGCCAAGTATCCTGCAGAGAAAGGAAAGACGGAAAGGAAAAAAACTGCTAAATGCTGTGTGTGTGGAAAGTTGTGTCACTTAGACGTGGGTCCTAATCACTTCAACAACAACTGAGAGTTGCTGATATCCTGTCAGGACAGGGGCATTGAGGGTTACCAGCTGTGAAACTATACCCATCAGCCTGAGGAGGACATAAGAGCTGACAGACACAAAGAAACCAGTGATCCGTGTCGCTCTTGTTCCTAATCAACCCTGGAGGCTTGTATGTGTTTCACATCATCACACAGGTATAATTTGTCAAAAAGGAGGAACACCACATGACTATTCATTTCACACCTTCCTTTAACACCTGCGTGTACTTTTAATGCTGCCTTCACTTCACATCCACCAGCCTTGACACACCGTTTACCTATTAACTTCTCGATACTGGCAGTGTTTTCTTTAGTTCAGCGTGCTGTAATCGCATGCCAATGTGTTTCTGTCAGTATGAACGGGTGAATCCTATCTTTACCAGGTTGTCAGTCTGAGGGAAGAGTGACGCATGTGTGTATGTAATGCAGTGTGAGCCACAGGTGACCTACGGCAACATGCCTGGCCAGCCTCAGGGCCTTTACCCTTCATACTGCACAGTCTTTAAACTTTAAATCACACTGAATATCGAGTCTGAATTGTGTTCATTATCACTGAGTAATGCAGTTTAAGCACAGATTGATTTAAAACAGTCTGAACTGCCTCACAACCGTAATTTACCATAAGAACATGCATGTTCACTGTGATTGATTACAGAGAGATAAAGTTTTAGGAGTTTGCTGCCATATTGTATGGGAGAATAATGGAAACCAATGGCGGTATGGAACAGAAAATGTCTAAATAACAGCATGGTTTGTAAAATGGTTAGATGTGGCATGCTATTGGTGTAGCATGATATCCCCTGGTTACCCAAAAGGGATTCAATATACATATAAATATCAATGCATTATATTACATTTTCTCATGGTTAGGGGATCAGCAGCACCACATTGAGTCATATGGTTAGCAGAGAGACTTGTAAAATATTATATTTTTATTTATATAGTTAAAAAGGTCCAGTGTGTAGGATTTAGTGGCATCTTGCAGTGTAATTGCAGATCGCAAGTTCCTCGCTTCACCCCCGCGAAAACAGTGTTTTGTTTGTCGCTTCTAGGCTACTGTAGACACATGACATCACTTCTAATTGTGTAATTTTTATTCTTTTAAACGTCAACTGTTAAATACAGTCTTCTAATACTGTCACTGTGAGGAGGGACTGAAACCCGTATGACTTCTTATAAAACATACCTCCAAGGGTTTGGTTTGTTTTTACCAATCTGAACATTAACAATATTTCTGGTGGTGCAGATGTATGTTGTAGAAGATGCCATTCACTGTCATGTTATACAGTATGAAACAACTTCAGTTTAGTGTAAATTAAAGGGCATCTTCTTTTAGTTTATACATTTTAAATCTCAATACATACATGATTTTAAACTGACACTGAAACTAAAGTGAGTGTTCATCTTAACTGAACCTATTTCAGCAACTTCACTGCCATTTCAACTCCTTATAGTAATTACATTTCGACTAACTAAGCATTTTACCTCTTTTAAATGTTTAAACAACGACTACTTGTAGCTAGTTTCTAGTTTTTAATACTTTTTTTTACTTTCTCAAACGTCCTATTTTACCGTTTCAACTGCAGTTTCAACGGTTATATCATTCCGCGTAGGCATCACGTTTGGAATTATATTTTAACGGTTAGTTTTTAATATCACTCCGCGCAGGCTGAATGTTTGGAATTATATTTTAACGGCAAGTTTTCATATCATTCCGCGTTATGACAAGACGCTCTATTTCGCTTTAAAAAGGGAAATCTGCCATAAAAATGTAAAGTTTCTTTCATATCGTAATATCTCATTTGCAGGATATGTCCAAGCCATTAATTAAAAAATGAAAATAAATAAATAATAAAGTACGTTTGATAACTTTGTGCGTTATCCGGCGGAAGGGGAATGTGAGGAATGCCAAGGGGCTGTAACAGGTGAGAGAAACTGACCTGGACTGAATTTATAACGCTGCCCACTGACAATGTCGGATTAAAACAACAGAAACAGGTGCTTGAGGAGTGTAAGGGGGGTAAAACAAACAGGTGTAAAGTCAAGAGATCACACAGGAGTGGCCGCAGGTGACAACTTATTAGCCTCCCTCCTACCTGTATGTTTGCTTCTGGTTGACATATAACAAAAAATGAACACGAAAAAAGGAGTTCGTGTCAGTTAGAATGTTAATAAAAAGAACAAAACCAAAAAAAAAACAAGATGTCGCCGCTTTTGGAAGCCAACTGCCGTTGTCACGACGTATGAAGTCAGTTTGCTTAGCCACTTTTTTTTTTTTTTTAAAAGCTCATTTTAACCCAGTAACTTTATGTATGCAACCATTACTAACGTTACCAGGTGGCCGTGTATCAACTGGTTTCTCCGCCGCCCTGCTTAAACAAGAACTTACCTGCGGTGGTGAAATCAAGCAGTCCAACAACCTTTATTCCCAGTCTTAATAAATGCGAGAGAGAAGTGAGTGTGTGTGTGTCTCAACAGCTTCCAGTTAAAAGAAGAGACAGAGAGGGGATGCCTCGGGAGGAACAAGTGCATAAAAACATGGGAGCTGAGGGGGTGTTTTTTTTAAAAATGAAATCCCAGCCCTCCTCTGAATGAACCCTCCTTCCTCTCTCTCTCTAAGCATTCAACAACACTGACTGCTGCTCAGACCGCACTGCTTTACATTTAAAGCTGCAGCGGTCAACTTAAAAAAAAAAACTTTTTGTCATATTTTTTGTAAACTTTCACTATATCCCGACAGGAGTACTGTACATAAAACAAATAATCTGTGCAAAAATCTGGTTCTTTTGGCTCGTTATAGTGCTCCGAATGCGCATTTGGAAGAATCCACCGGGCCTGAACGAAAGCGACCAATCAGAGCGGAGAAAGATATAAACACGCTTTAGGGTTAGAGGTGTGAAAATGGTTGATTTGACTTTAATTCCCAGGTCTAAAAGCGTATATATTTGACGCTCTGGGTGTGTTTTTGAAACTTTCTGTGCTCTGTTTTTTCACAGATTATCTGTTTCATGTAATGCTGTCAGGGTAAAGTGAAAGTTACAGAAAATATATATATGTTATTTTTTATTACTGCAGCTTTAATGAGGCATTTGTGACGTGTCTCTACCAGTATGGCATTGATATAAATTACCAGATAGATTTTTAAAATAACTTCCCTGTAAGGAACAACACCGCGTTCAGCAGTTGGTGTGAAAACTGAGATGCTTTTTTATTTAGTTAAAAATGAAGTTTTTATTTATTTAGACAACGACAACAAATGCAGGCAGCAGCTTAGTGTGATTGAGGCAACTGAACTGGCCTGAGGGGTTTGTATTTGGTAGGCTTATTAGTCAGAGATAGTCCTGTTTGAAAAATAATGAAACTATTGAATTGTTAATTATATTATTACTATGTGTTGTTTTACTGAAAGTTGCCTGTTTCACTTTGATTTCTCTGATTCAGGGTGTATTTATTAGAGGACATCTGGTGACCCTCGGAAGGAGAAAGTCACTATAACTAAATGGACCTTTTTGGTGTGAATGTTTTGTTTTTATTTTCTTAAGCCAACATAGATAAGAAGTGACCAGAAAGGTGAAACAACTGTGTGACTCCACCTGCTGGGGAAGATTGTGTGTTACAGTCAAAAGGCTTTGTTGTGCTCAGAATGAGTTCACTCTGACTGACTTAAACCTCCTTCACTTTCTTTTTTGTCAGATCTCTGGGTTGAGTTGTAGAAGTTATGCCTGTTGTCCAGACATTAAACCAGACAGGTACGTACTTTAGGTTGGGTTTAGTGATCCCCAGACAGACTGAGATGAGAGCAACAGGCGGTGTGAAGCATCTAAAACTGTTATTATATTTGCAACAGCGGTGGTTGATCTTCAGGAACAGAAAGCAGCTGCTTAACTTTACCTGGACAACCCAAAAGTCACAAATCCTCTAAAACAACCTTCTCTTCTCTCAGAACATCTGGACAGAAACCAAAAAGAAAGTCTCTAAAATGTACATTTAAACACTTGTGTGATGTGTTTGTGATCAGTTAAAGGAATAATATTAATTCAAATATGCCTTTTAACAATACTCATAAGACTCATTAGAAAGATCCCTTTCTAATGCAACTCTAATGTAAGAGATGGTGGCCGCCCTCATTCACAAAAATCCAGCCACAGATAATACGAAGATTCAGCAGTCTAAGTAAAGTCCCCTGTCAGACTCTTTCAGTTTACATATAGACATTTGAGTATTGTATTAAAATATTAACCTGCCCTTTAATACCATTTAAAAGCTCCTGCAGCTTTATGGGAGCGTCACAGTTACACATGCAGTAGTTTTAGTGATGGATTAGCTCATCCACACTGCCGTTACATGACAGTATGAACATAAAAGACCTTGGCTTTCACATCAGAATGTATACATTATTAATATTGTATACATTATTAATATTGTGCAGAAGACTTGCACAGTGTCTTCACATAGGTTGTAGTTCTCATTGCTGTCCAGCAGGTGGCAGCGTTGCAGTAGAAAACTTGTCAAACCTGATAAACACAGGATCTTGAACTGTGGCAACACCGACATCTAGCACTGTAAGCACTAACAGATGATGCCTTCATTACCGCACTTAACATTTAAAATATGCATAGTTAATGATTGATGCTCCATAGATAGTTGATTTATATATTGGCAGACATACACGGGAAAGTTGCTGTACATATACATTTTATAGGCTGCATTTTAATTTATTTAGACTTATCTTAAATGAAAGCTTTGTTGGATTTGTGTTTTAATTGATAGTTTAAATATCATGATTGCAGTTCTAGTAAAGTTTATTCAGAATTTAATGTAATTAATGTAAAATATGAATGTAAAAAAGGAATATAATCTAATAAATATTTGATTTCTCTTTTATCCACAAATATAAATGTCTGCATTTGGCTTCATGAATCCCATCACTGAGCTGAGTGTGTGCACATCATATTGTTGCATGTTGGAAACAAAGTCCTACCTTTCTTTACTCTGTTCACTGAGATAAAAACACCACTTCCCATATATATATATACATACACATTA